CTGTAAGTCTTTAAATTCCCATTCTTCCATAACATGATTTCAATTTTCAGTGATGAAATCTAACAGAAGTATTTCTAGAGAGCACATTTGGATAATATGTAAGTTCTGTCAAAATTGGTAGATCCCAAATTTGACCTTCTGTACGTTTGTTTTCTCACATCTGATCTCAAAGCTCACCGAATACTTTCTGTGTATTCCCAAAACAAATGATTTTATTATTATAATTATTTAACACATTATTTGATATTAGTTTTAATTATAGCCAAATTGTTGGAAACTCTCCAGTAACAAACCAGTCAGCTCATGGAATACATATGTGGAATAAATACAGCCTAACCCTGCTGTTCTTTCCCAATGACAGCTTCCACGGGCTTCAGGATAGCAACTGTAGAAACAGGTCTCAATTTCAAGTTTCCAAAAATGCATTATCATTACTAAATCAAGGGAGGCTGAAGAGATTTAAAAATTAGAAAAAATATGTTGATCAGACCTTTTGAAGGTAAAGTTAGGTCTAGTGCAAATCACAAAGTCCATGAAAGCTTAGACTGGGAAAACTGATTTGCCTCCTGTGCATCATGAACATTAAGCAAAATTTCTTCTTATAGCTCCCTTTCCCGTGATTACAGTAACAGGTCCCTGTTGTAATTGTTTGTTTCCTTCCACTGCAGGAGAGAAGCTGTAATTGTTTCAATCTCTGGTTGTAGTCATGTTCTGTTCAGAAGTCTGAGCTTCTGTCAAAAAAAAAAAATAGTGTAGTAACCAGTCTATAAGAACAAATGTCATTCTAAAATCATAATAAATAATAATAGACGTTATAACTCATGAGCTCTTCGTAGAAGGAACTGTTTCTTGTGTGTTTGAACAGTGCCTAGAATGTTGCACATGCTACTAAAATATATGTAATGACAATTTCTCATAGGCTGGAAATGCCAGAAGAACAGCCTTTCTCATGATCTCTGGGCTTCAGCTTCTGGTCTCAGATGAAACCAAGAAGTGCAAAGACATGAAAATGTCAATTTTAACCGAAGTGTTTTCTCTCTCGCTCACTCAAAGTATTTCGGTCAGATCATATTTTTTTCTGCCCTGGTTCACCCACTCTTGATGAATAATATGAAGAATTCTGCTTTCAGCATTATTTTAACAGGAACACAGAGACTTCTACATCAAGGATGCTGCATTCTTCACTTAGGAGACACAGTGGAAAATTCTGACCCTTGGCTCTGAAGACTTTACTTTCTTCTTTCTCACAGCCCACTTGTCTGCCTTTGCCACCTTAAATCCATGTTCTCCAACCACTGAAGTTACAGGAGACTGTTAACTATACATATGATTTCCCCCCCTCCACTCCCGCACAATAAGCCACATTTTTGGTATGTGGGTAGAAGGAGCAGGAGCCCACAAAGCCTAGAAAGTGAGGAATGTAGAGAGAAGGATCCATCCTAAAACTGTAATGAAAGATGAATCAGGGCTGCGTGGCTTTTGAAATGCTTCAAGAAATCAGACGGGTGACGGTAAAGCTGCCTATTTACATTGTGTGTGACTGTGTATTATACAGACACACTCTCTCATTTTCACTTAAATAGGGATAATCCTTATGTGAAGATGAGTTCTTCCTGAACACTTCCTTTGAGTTAGCCTTTCAACGTCAGGCATCTTCAACTATTTTTGTACAGTATTCCCCGTTATTAACATTGTAGAGGATTTTGTTTCACATTTGTCTTTTCTTTTTTTTCTGGTTACATCTTCCATCCCCAGTATGGAGTCAGCTCCTGGGACAGGTTTTAGTGTGTAATAACACTCTCTACTAGTAGTGCATTCCTCTGAATGCTGAAATTGATTTTCCTCCTCTTAATGCGTGAGTAGCCAGTGCAATGTTTGTCCCAATGCCTAATATGTGATGGCTCTGACAGCATGGGATGGGAACACAGTTGTTTTGTGTATGTCAGAAACAGCAACTCCAGCATGATTAAACTGAACCATATAACGTTGTTAGAGGCATTTAATTTGCCACAGATCAAAGTCTGCTTGGGAGGAAAGTGACCGATATTTTTAAAAATTGGATGTCTAAAATTAGGTACAAACATAGGTGGGTAAATAAATGACTAGATGCACAAAAGTGATGAGCATCCCACTGCCCCGTTAATTTCAATGGAACTGGTGGGTACTCGGCACTTTTGAAAGTCAGGTCTCTGGTTTAGAAGCCTAACTTTAGACACCAATTTTTTAAAATGTTAGTCAGTGTGCCTGTGTATGTGTAGGGACATAGGAATTGCCATAGTGGATTAGACCAGTGGTCCATCTATTCCGATATCCTGTTGTGACATTAAGAACAGCGCAAGGGCCACAGGTACCCAGATATCTGGTAATGAACAGCAGCTGGCTTAACCAATTCACGTGTACCCCAATTCTTTAATGTCATGAAATATATCTGATAAGTGTCATACAAGGTGTCAATGAAAAAGCTCATGACTCACTGGTTATTAATATTATTACATAATGTAGGTGCAAGCAACTGATGCAAAGTGATGGACATAAACTGAAATTATAGTTCTTAAAATGTGTTTGCCAGCCAAGACAAAGGAACAGTTGAAGAGGAACAATTAGTAGCATTCACTCAGCTTCATTTGACCATGCTTAACCAGTTTTTTTCAGCCAAAGTTATTAATGAGCTGACGTTCATCCCACAAACACCAAAACAGGAATAAGCCTTGCCCCCACTATACTGTCTTGGATGCCTTTTACAAATTAAAACCTCATGTACTCGCCATTTGTAAGCAGACACACACTAGTCAAGGTGTACCCTATAATTTCAAATTTGCTGTATTCTTTCCCAATAAGAATCTCATAATGGTTACCATTTCTCCTCTCCGTTGCTTATTAAAGAACCTTGTGGAGCAGCAACCTTATAGAGGCTTTTATTATTTACTATATCTATAAATGATTTTATTATAGCTTTTATTAATGTAAAAGTACATTTTTATGTGGCTGACATAGTACACAACAGCACTAAATCTTAACTAGGAGTTACAATCTAGTTTACAATCTAATGTTGATAACTTGCTATCCTGGCAAAAAAGGAAATTGACTTTCTATAGGAGAGAACTAGGCCTAATCAGTGATTTATTTATAGTTGAGAGGAGAAAGCCAGGTAAATAGTCCCACTCTGAACACACTCTTCTGAGCCAGGGAATGTATTGTTCTTTTCATCTCCATATTTTGTTCTAACTGGGATTTTTTCAGGTTTTGGCCACATCTAGACATTGCTTGCCCATGACAATACCTCCAAGAGTTAGAGGATGCAGCATGGTCTAATGAACAGGAAGCACTGGACTGAGCATCTGCTGACTTAAGTTCTATTTCTGAACTTGAGCTTGGGCGAGTTATTTCACCTCTCTGTTTCTCTTTCTCCTCCTACCATTTGTCTATTTTGACTGTAATCTCTTTTGGGGATGGACTTTCTTATTATGTGTATGTACAGTGCCTAGCATAATGATCTCAGTTGGGGTCTCTAGATGCTGCTGAAATACAAATAGTAAATTCATAGACTTAAGGCCAGAAGGGACTGTCATGGTCTTCTGGTCTGACCTCCTGCACGTTGCAGGCCACAGAACCTCACCCACTCTCTCCTGTACTAGACCCATAACCTCTGGCTGAGTTACTGAGGTCCTCAGATTATGATTTAAAGTCTTCAAGTTACAGAGAATCCATCATTTACTCTAGTTCAAACCAGCAAATGCCCCATGCTCCACGCTGCAGAGGAAGGTGATAAACCCCCAGGGTCTCTGCCAATCTGATCCTGGGTGAAAATTCCTTCCTGACCCCAAATATGGTGATCAGTTAGACCTTGAGCATGTGGGCAAGACCCATTAGCCAGACACCTGGGAAAGAATTTACTGTAGTAACTCATAGCCCTCCCCATCTACTAGCCCATCTCTGGCTGTTTCCTACATGCCATTGTAGGCAACCTTATCTACCATCCCCTCCATAAATTTACCAAAGCTAGTCTTGAAACCAGTTAGGTTTTTTAATAATATAACAATAATACAATAGAGTTTTTAATATTATAATACTGCTCTGTTTATAAACATCAACGCACAAAGTTGAGCAACAAAATCTTTATGTGCCTAAATAACCATTTTAGGCACCTACTGACTAATTTAGGAACCTAAATATGGCACCCAATACCTTAAATAGACAGGGTCTTTCTTCAGAGAAGTGATTCAGTATAGTACCCATTTGGGTCCCTGCTGACACATGAACAGTTCGGTGGAGTCCAGCCTTGAAGAAGCAAGGGTCACAATAGTGTAAGTGAAAAGATCTGCAAGTGTGAACATTTTTGAAACATGTCTGTTGGAAGTTTTTAACAAACATGCTTGAAATTGTTTTAGTATGTGAAATTCAACTTGTCACTCATATTTAGCATTATGTGCTAAAAGTCTCAGCAATGTCTGTGTTATATCCCCAGAATACACTTGAAAATGAGGTGCTTAGACCTCATGGAAATGGATATGCTATAATCAAAGGTCTGAAGGCTAGAAGTGGAGAAATCTCCAAACCATTCTCTCTTGCAGTGCTCTCACACAGAGAGAGACACTTTCCATTTGCTTCAACAGTTCAGAAAACCAGTACTGCTGTAAAATAGCTTTTACACAGAGGGCCTCAGTAAACTACACCAGCTTCAAAAAGAGTATTTGTTGAGGCAGTGTCAGCTATGGACAGTCTGAAGCCGAGTGGTTGTGCTTGATGAACTCCCATGCATACCAATACTCGGAACACTCTCTTCCAGGTCACAGAGCTAGTCTGATCTCTGGGAACAAATCAAAAAGCTTGGGAGTTCAAATGAGTTGTTTGCCTTGAAGACTATTTTAGTCATGAAAATGTAATTGCAGATGGACTGCTGAGCTTTGTTTCTTAGACAGGATGTCATCTAAGTATTTCTGAGTTGATATTGGTTAGCTTTTCAGTAATACTTTGACTAGACTTTTGCTGTTGTCTGACAGGAATTGATGGCCCTGCTGCATTTCAAGATGATGTTCAGGAGGTAGGAAGCCAAATTCAGATTCTTACCGTTGGGCAGTCTAGCCACAATGAAGATGATGGAGAGACGATGGCTAGTGGCCAACAACAAAGCAGGCAGGACCTTAGAGTAACGATGCAGAAAAAGGGTAAGTAGCCAAAGCTACCTACTTATGCTCCTTGTTTGCTCTGTTTTTAGGCTGGTGACTCCTTCTACTCCCAATGGTAGCCTGGTCCTAAACTAAGGCATAGACATGTTTTTTCACCATTTCACTTGAGGTCCTTCCTTCAGTGAATCATCATTATCCTTCCCTTATTGCTCCGTTGTTTTACCTCCATAATTGTAATGGAGTTTCCCATTGGCCCAAGCAGCAAAAGACCTATGTGTACTCTGGGACATGGCTTTCCCATACTTCAGTGCAATGTTGCTATCAAGGTGGCAGGTGTTAAAGCTCTCATCCATAAGTTTTACAATCTGAATTGCAGGATGATAGAAATCATGTACTTAAGCATAACAAAAGGGCTTGTAATGGCCACATATAAATTAGAAGGCAGAATATTAAGTGTGGTTGTAGAATCAATTCACAAATTCATCCTCCTAAAGGTAAAAATGACAGAACTGTATTCTGCGGCACTTCTTGGCAGCATACTTCTCAAATGTTCTGGGTTTTTTTCAAGGACAGCCCTGACTGGGGATGAAATAAGTGTGTGTGTGTGTGTATCTGTCTCTCCCTTTCTGCAACAGTATTATCTCCTATCAGACAGCAGCTTAGGAGGAAATAAATCCTAAAATCTTCACAATGCTTTTCTGAAGCCTTAATGGCTCTGCTTCTTCAGCATGCAACCTTTGAAGTTAAGATGGCTTTGACCAAAGCTGCTCTACAGAGAGAAACTGGTGCTTTAAAAATATACACATAGTCCACAAAGAGCAAAATTTAAGTGAGAACTTGACTTGTATAGAATAGACTGTTCTTTTCTAAATGCCAGTTTCGTTTTGTAGAGCAGCTCTCACTGAGATTCATTATCTCAAATGCTTCACACTGTGGATGTTAGCGACTCAGCCTGAAATGAACACATTTCCTCCAAGTGTGAAGTTTCCTGGGTATTTGGATCTGAGAGAGACTGATTTGACTAACAAGTTCTCTGTGTATTGCTTGCCACTTAAATGCATGGCTCAAAATGTTTATAAGCCAGTCACCTTGCTCACAAAAGTTGGTTGATTTAGAAATTATAAATAGAGCTGGGTGAGAACATTTTCTGTTTCCTGGAAAGTTTTGCGAGTTAGAAAAAAGAAATCTGTTCCAAAACAGAAGGAAAACAAAAAAAAAAAATTGAAATTTGCTAGGAAACCAAATTCCAAACAAAATATTTCATTTTGAAAAAAATCAAAACTTTTTTCTGATTTTGACATTTATTTTGTTTACATTTTTAATAATGTAAAATGAAAGAAATTGCAAATAAAAATAATTTTGAAATGAAAAATAGAAATGTTTCATTCTGAAAATGTCAGAATAGAATGTTTCATTTTTTTTTCTTTTTTTTTCCTTGAAAGGAAATTTGTCAAAATAGAAACTTTTCCTCAAAACATTTTGCTTTTGATGAATCGACAGTTCCTGAGGGAAAATGTCGTCTTAAGAAATTTCTGACCAGCTCTAATTATAAACCAACTTTGAAGTTAGGTCAAACTACTGGGGTTTATTATTTTGGGGCGGTCTCTTTTTTGATATTAAAAACTGTTAAAACTGGCATACTTAGTAGACAGTAAAGGTATGTCTACCCTGCACGCTTCTTATGGGGCCATGTAGCATACATACCCACGTAGCAGCCCCTAGCATGGGTATAAATAGCAGTGTGGCTGATGAGGCCTGGCTTAGGTGAGTAGAATAAAGGCATGCCTGTAGGTTGTGGGCATATAGGCAAGTACATACCCTACATGCTCTCTGCTCACCCAAGCCATGCCTCTCTGTCTAGTTTTAGCGGTGTAGTGTCATGCTGCTGGAGCCTTCTTTCTCCTCCTCAGGAAGGACTCCCCCAATGGGGGAAGGCTCTGGCAGGAGGAAGCAGCAGGGAAAGAGTTGGGCATCTCCCCACTGTGGAATCTTTCCCTGCCGCTGGGAAAGACTGGGAGCAGGAAAAGGCTGTCTGCTCCCTGCGGCTGGAGACTTCCCCTGCTGTCTCCCCTCTCGCAGGCTATTTGTTGGTACACAAACCCTACACGCTGCCACTAGTGGTGCGTACAGTACACGTAGCCTAACAGTTTATGCAGGGGACGTTTTAAATGAAAGCACTGGGGATTTAGCTTCATGACCCCTGTTAAGGTCAGTGGATCACTCCATACCCTGTGTGGCTACAAAGCATCAATAAGCTGGTTTCAACTAGTAGAGGTTCCATGGGATATTCCTGTTGGATGATGGGCTCTGCCATCCCATGGAGTGAGAAGGAAGCTTGTTAGCTAGCTTTTGTCACCCCTGGATGTCCCAAGAACCATGGGGACATTTGTTTAGTGGCTGAGGCTTTCAGGTGCAGGCCCAATGCTTCTGCCCTGGACCATCTCACTGCCATGTCACCATGAATCTAGAGAACCATGCTCCTGTGGGAACCTTGAGAGTAGCTGCCCATAAGCCACCTTCAATTTGTTTATGGGTAAGGAAGGGGAAAGCCGCGTAAGGGCAATGCTGATGGTAGGAAAGGTCATGCTGATTGTCATTAGAATTGCTTAGTCCTGATTTGAACCCATTCTGCCGTTTGACAGGAACTTTGTGGTGAGTGTCCAATGTTAACAGATGCCTGTCTGCTCCGCAGGGAGCATCCAACATGTTTGTTTCAGTTAGGAGAAGATAGGTTATAGAATACATTAGTGCACAGGCAATACTCTCCTTGCAAGGAAATGTCAAATGTTTTATTTGATTTCCCCATCTGCTGGAAAGTGCCACAACTAGAATAATTCTCTTCCTGTGGGAAATATTCTTGCCTTTTGATTTCAGTATTTTTAACATTGAGCCTTCCTTGACAGTGAATGAATCACAAGGACAGACACACACTTCCTCAGGTTTTAGCAAAAATCAGATGGAAATCTAACATTTAGTTACACATTTATCAATTTCATTAATGTCATTGTGACCGTAGCAGTCTGGATTGTTGTAATTCTTCATTGCCAGCTGGAGGTAAAATTGCTGTTGCTTTGAGATTTAGAGAAGGAATAGATTTGTGTAATACTTCAAGCAGCAAACAAAATTGCTTTCTGGGAACAAAGCTGAAACAGGAGCTTCTTTAAAGCATTCACAGGGTTTTTCCAAAAGATGCTTAGAACCAGTTTGTCAAACATTGGCAAACATTTGCTAGTGATTACACCAGCAAAATCTGACTCCTGCATGATGGGTGTAAATGCAGACTAAAATAAAATAACTGTTTATGCCACTGCATAGTAGTGTGCTCAACGCCCTGCTTTTTTATGCACCAGTGCCCATTTGGGACATGGAATGCTGAGGTTGCCCTCACAAATGTTGGATGTAATTTGCATGCCAGTATCGGAAAAATTCTTTTTTCCCCCCATCCCAGAGCATCTTTGCAGACACTGGGAACACAGTACAGCATTGCCATTCATCCTGTTCTTGACTTATTCCTCTGTTAAACCCAGCCTGATCATGTCCCTGCGTATAATGTCCTATCTAATTGGTGGTCAGACTGATGTCGATTGTGTTTGCATTGTTTTCGTTAGCATCCTATCATTTGTTTGTCACCTGCAGCGTCCCCCTTGTTGTAATCTTTTCAATTGTAGCCAATCCTGTACCCTGATTTGACATCCTACTCTCTTCCTAACCTCTTCAATCGTCTTTAAATCATTTCACTTTACACCCGCTGTCTTTCATCTTTACTGCCACCAGCCTTCTGATCTCTGTTTCATTTAATGCAGCTGCTTCCAGGCCATAGAGTAATACTGTTAGTACACTGGTTTGATAAATTTTCCCTTTGATACTAGTTGTAATGTTTTTAACAATCCATAATCCCATCAATTTCTGTGCAGCACTTGTGGCTAAGGCACATCTCCTTTTAACCTCATCCTTGATGGCGCAATTGGCACTGATCAAACTTCCTAGGAACACATAAGATTCTACTTGTTCTATGACTTTGCTGCGTCTGCATTTCAGCACTTTATCTTTTGTCCCTTTCCCAGATTCAGTCACTTCATCTTTTGGCATTTATTGTAACTCCAAGTTGACTACACCAATTTTCCAAGGTAGCAAAGGATGTCATTATTAATTCAAATGTGTCTGCCTGTTGTCATCTGCATGAGCTAAGGAGCTTAACTTCAGATCATTCAATGTTATGCCCTCCAAATAGTCTAATGTTCTTAATATCCAGTTGTAGAAAAGTGACTGTAATTCCATGTCCCCAGTTTGAAAAATTGGCTCTTGTTAAATAGCTTTTAAGGTTCTCAATGGGAGTCAAAGAATGAAGAGAAGGGCACATCATCACACTCTCTTCAGGTAGTTCCTATTCTGTGTGATGGTGGTGGGTGAGCACAGGTCTTCGAATTCTAACAGGTATGGCCAAAATGACTAGTTAATCTATGAGCTCTGACTTCCCTTGTACACAGGATATTGTTGGAGACTCTTTTGACGCCATTTTTGTATTGTTTGTTTCCATAGTAGGGAGAACTAAAGCAGTGGATGATGGGACCATGCCTGTTGCATCTCTAAGGGATACTTAACAATGTGTATGCATCTACTTGACCCCTATGCATTTGTGGGAGGATGAGCATTTGAAGTGATTGGAAATAGCAATAAAATAAAGAAAATAAAATAAAAATAAAGAAAAAATTAAATAAAAGCTACAACACAATTTCGATCAGTGTCAAAATTCAAACCTAAGAATATTGCCACAAGCATTTCAGCTAATATATGAGTCTATATACTAGTTTGGTTCAATCTTTGCTTGCTGTGTGTACCCCTGTGTGTATCCCTGAATTATATCGGTGTGTCCAAGATCAAAAAGTAGACCAAAGACTCACAATGAAGAACTCACCCACAATGTGCTGAAAGATTAACAATGCAACCATTTAGCATGAATAATACATTCTGTAACCTCAGTTCTATAATTCAGCTCATTCTCATTTAATTCAAAATACTGAAAGGGAGGTGACACCAGGTTTCAATGGGCCTAAGGTAAGTTTCAGTCTTCAACAAGTGATGGATTTTATAAAGGAGAATATCTGAGAGTTATGGCAGCAGAAATGTGGCTTTACCCAGCAAGCCCTTAGTCATGTGTGGGGTCCTCTCATTAAGGATTGTGCATGTGATTAAGGGTTTGCAAAACCAAGCCCATGGATTTTTTCCTTTCCCAGATCCCCACGCAAATACATCCTGGTCCACTTCCACCTCCCAATCCAGTCTTGTGGCCCTGGATCATGTTCCAGGTAAGTACAGAAGGAAGAAGTTAACCCTGCCCCTACTGTTTATTTGGCTCCAAAGATCTTTGTTTAGTACTTGTCCTATTTACCCTTCTGTATTTGAATTAACGATCATGGAAATTCTTGACCAAAATTATGGAAAATAACTAATATTTTTGGAACATATTATGTAATCAAGCTGTAATTTCAGATTTGGACCAAAAGTGGAAGGTGGCTTCATTTACGTAAAACTCCCTTGGAAAACCAGGCCTGCTAGACTTCCCAGACCCCACCCACCTAGACCTTCTGCTGCCAAGTCCAACCTGGTCTTCAAACTTCCATTTCCTTAGACTCCTCAAAGTTTGTGTGGCGTGTGGCTGGGGCACTTGCGGGACTGACATATAAGTATTAAAGTGAAATGGATCAGTGATCTAAGGGATTCCCTCTGTTCTGGTCTTATTTTTACATACAAAAACATACATAAAAACAGAGTTTGATTTTATTATTTTTTCCCCCTCACACTAAGATCTGCTCCCCATGAGACAATATAGGAATAGCTAAGGCCCTACTTGAATTGCAGGATGATTGTCAAATAATTGCGGCAGAGTGTGGACAAGACACAGAAAAGAAATAATGGACATTTATTAATTGCAGTAATTTGGAAAAGCCAAAGAAGACCTATTTGTTTAAGAAAACTTTGCTGGAACAATACAGACACTCAATGTTTGTTATGTTATGCCTGCTAATTTTTTTTTGATAACTGGACATTTTGCTGCAACTATATTACACTCATCAATGTGTGAGGCTGACAATGGGAGCCCCGCCTTGCGCAGGTGCTGACAGCCCAAGCCCCAGCTGCTATCAGCTTGGATAAATGGGGTTCTACTGTACTAGTGGTGAAAAAAGTATGTGTTGCAAACTTAAAAATGTATGCAAAATTGTGGACTGTGCAAAGTAACCTAATTAAAATCAAAATTGTGGTGGAAGCCTAATCCACAATTTCTGCAATATCACATATTAAGTAGGGCCTTAGGAATAGCTAAAAATTAAATCTGACCATAATGTGGTACATCTTGCAATTTTTTAGACCCCCGTGCAGCTGCAAAGGGCTGCCTTCACCGATCCGAATGGGGCTTTTATGATCTTGTATTTAAAGCACTCAACTAGGAGATCTGGATTTAGTTCCTGGCTCTGCCACACACTTCTTGTGTGTTCTTGGGTAAATCACTCAATCTCTATAAAACGGGGATAATGACACTTCCTTTCCTCCCACCCTTTGTATGTCTTGTGTATTTAGATTGTAAAGCTCTTCAGGGCAGGAGCTTTCTCTTAGTATGTGTTTGTACAGGACCTAGCACACTGGGACCCCAATCTCACCTGGGGCTTCTAGGTTTAACAGTATGAGAAATACTAATCATCGTTTATATCCTGTATGCATGCATATGCAGCTTTAGTGTTTTCACATTTCATATAAACTTGTTTGCTTGCTCCTCAGGCATTTCAAGCAGCATGAATTTTGATGAAGAGGATGAGGATGATGAAGACAGCTCAAGTTCCTCCCAGTTAAACAGTAACACCCGACCTGGCTCTGCAACAAGCAAGAAATCAAACAAGGTTAGAAGGCAGAAGTGTTGCCTGTAGATTAATATGAACTGTGTCATTTCCAGGTCAGAAAGCCTGGCATTTTTTAATATAGCATCTTGAGGGAGGTTTGCTGTGGTACATCACAGGATTCAGAGAAGCAAGTAATGGAAAGGTTGAATAGAAGAGCGTCTTCTGAAAATCAAAAACTAGAGATGGGTGAAATGACCTGAAATTTCATTGAAAAGTCAAACCAAACATTCCCAGAAGTAAACACATAGCTAATATTACCTGAACGAAGAGACAGAAAAATAGGTAAACTAAATATCAAATTGTTAAAATCAAAAATTTTATGAGAGTTGGTGATAGGGAGAGAGATTTTGACTTTACTATTATCTCCATCTGTAGTCTCTCTCTCTGCTCCTGCCACTGGTACCCAAAGTGCTCTCAACTCTCTAGTACAGTCATTCTTAACCCTACTACCTCAACTGTAATCCATCCCCAAACAACCCACTTTTCCCTTTCGTGATCTCCCAATTGCCTACCTTTTCCAGATATGAACTTTCTCAGAATTGGGGGTATTCAGATCTAGGGTTTTGCGAAGGACTCATCCATAAATATTGAGCCAGATTCTGCCTTGCATTGGTTATGAGTCTGACTTTCTAGGTGCAACTAACTCCACTCCTTTTTTCCCGTATGTCCCCTGTGCAGGGGTGCAGTTGGCATCGGAGACTGTTCCAATGGCTTTACACCAGCTGAGAGGGGGGATTCTCATCTGAGCAGTTGCCTCCAAATCCCTCCCCTTTGCAGCACCTGAGAGGCATAAGGGGTCCAGAACAGGGGGAATGCAATGTGCTATGTTATTGCCATTATTATTATTATTTTTAAGAAAAGCTGTTTCTGCAGTGCAGCTGCTGACATGTTTCTTTAAACTCTTGTGTTTTCAGTCTTTCCTTTGTAATCGTAAAGTAAACATGAGGTAACCTTTCTTACTCTTCTAGGAGGCAGCCTCAGCTCCCAGCCCTTCCGCAAATGAGCCTGTCATAGATGTTGATGACCTGGAGGAGTTTGCTGTGAGACCTGCTCCACAGGGCGTCACCGTCAAATGCCGAATCACAAGAGACAAGAAGGGAATGGACCGGGGAATGTACCCTACCTATTACCTCCACTTGGAAAGGGAGGATGGTAAAAAGGTCATAAAATATACCTGAATGACATACCAGTTGCACCTGAACTTAAAACCATTAAAAGTGTCTTCAGAATTTTTATGTAGCCAGTAGAATTATATATTTCCTTTGACTAAGGGTTTGGTACTATGCAACATGTCACCACATTACATTTACTTTCCCATTCTTTATCTTACTATTTGGTCTTAGAAGAGTCAATGCCTGGCAGCTGAAAATCGTTAGCAACTGAGGCTCCTTGCCCTTTGCGACTGAAAGGCTTCTATTTTCACTTCCTTTGGAGGAGCCAGTACAAGCTAGAATTAAACATTTAACAAAGCATATCAGGTTTAATTATTTAAACCATAAATAATGGATTAAAGGAAGAAGCAGTTACTGCGCCTTGCTGGCTTTTACCCATTTTTGCTAAGTCTCAGGTGACTGCGTCTGCTGATGATGATAAACCTCGGGAACATTGCCCATTTATTGGGAGGATGGGGTGTTAAATATTCTTTGACATTCTACAATGTGACATTTTCTGCATTCCTTAGGTATTTCTATTAGCCGGAAGGAAGCGAAAGAAGAGCAAAACCTCTAATTACCTCATCTCTATAGACCCAACTGACCTGTCTCGAGGTGGAGAGAGTTTCATTGGAAAACTAAGGTAAACATTTAAGCACCCAAGACAGAGAGGAAGGAATATATGTTTTCTTGACAGAATATTCAGTTTCGTTGCAATTATGATACCTGTACGTTCTGTAAATTAAAAAGAGGGCTTATCCTTCGTTACAGTCTTGGTTATATCATGTGACTCTAGGCCTTGGGTAAAATTTTCAAAAGTACCTAAGTTCCATTTTTAAAAGTGATTTAGGTATGTAGGATCCTAAATCTTATTGAAAGCTAATGGGACAGATTTCCTAATCTATTTAGGTGCCTACCAATGTGGATATGCACCTAGGGGGAATTTCAAAAGCATCTAAGCAGATTAGGTACCTAACTCCATTGATTTAAATCCCATTGAAAATCTGCCCTTAGGCCCTTTTGAAAATTTTACCCCTGTCTCCTGCAGTTTAATAAAAGCCTTAAACTGCATTGTGATAAATGGGCGGGGGGGGGGGGGGGGAGGGGAGCTCTTTTTTATGGACACCTAGCCAGCCAGTTAGCTATAAAATTCCTCTTAGTAACTGTTCTCTACTTGCTTTGCCTGTAAAGGGTTAACAAGCCAACAGGCAAAAAGAAAGGAGTGGGCACCTGACCAAAAGAGCCAATGGGAGGGCTAGAACTTTTTAAAACTGGGGGGGAAATTTCCCTTTTTCTATGTGTTGTGGTTCCCCGGAGAGCGGAGACACAGAGTAGCAATGCTGTAAGAAGCCCCAGGTGAGACTGGGGTCCCAGTATGTTATTGCACACACATATTTTAGTTATTTCTTTCTTTAGATTTTCTAAGAAAAGTACTTATCTGTTAGTCTAGGCACCTTTGATAGAACTTAAGAAAACCATCCAACTAAAACAGCAACTCAACAGAAACTCCCAACAAAACTCAGCCTCATGAGTGTCTTAAGCATCATACATGATACTCAAATTATTTAACTCTTTCTTTATATATGATCTGCATTGAAAATGGCACTGTAGATTAACTAGAACTGTACTGCTTCTTTTATGTCTGATTTATCGCCTCTTGATCTTGGTAGATTACAAGAATTCTCCCAGCACAGTGCAATAATAGGGACAGTCACTATAACATGCATCTTGTAATATCCTGCCTCCCAGAGGTGCATGTATATTTAGGATTTCAGATGACCACTTTATTTACAGTTAATAGAATATTATGGGTTTTTTACCACTTGAGGTTCTGATATGATAAGGGACTATATAATTCAGGCAGTATTGTCGACAAAAGTAATTTGTCTTCCTGTTTTTTGATAGATCAAATCTTATGGGGACTAAGTTTACAGTATACGACAATGGAGTAAATCCAATGAAAACAACATCAAGCCTAGAAGCAAGTAACCTGCGTCAGGAGCTAGCTGCTATTTGCTATGTAAGTACTGCTCGCAGGCAAAGCCTGTAAGGAGTGGGAGTCAATTTTCAAAACATTGGGCCTGGTTCTCTTCTCACTTACACTGGTATAAGTCAGAATTTGCTCCCTGAACAACTCAGGCTCCCAGTTTCAGATTGTCTCTCAGGAAGACAAGGAAACTTAACAGGAAGTAGAGGTAAGAAATGTATCCACATGTACGCCTCGTCTCCAGCCAGATTGCCATCTGACAGGCCCCTCATCTCCAGTCAGAAGACCTCAGAGCTGTGGTACTATGGGGATAGAATGCTTTACACTCCTGTACACATCTTATGGGAACTGTAGCTGTGGGGACAAAATTACTACCAGTAAAACATGATCAGCAGCAATGGCACCCTGGAGATGGCATCTATGATCCAGTAGAGTTCACAGGGAGCTGGGCAGGTAGGTCTGAAATGGTCCCTTGGAGAGAAAGAGAGAGTGCATGTCTCCCCCTGAAGGAACCAAGAGCATCTGGCCTCTTCCTGGCTCCAGTATGATGTGGACCAGCTAGCCACACCATCCCCTCCCCCCAGCTTGAGAGGGTGAGTCTCGGGCTGTAAGAAACAATCTGTCTGGAGTGATGGATGGTGCGCTGAATGACCTGGAGGATTGTCAGCACATGAAAACCAAAATGAGGGGCCCCTCCACTTCCATGGGCATGACTCCAGGCAATAGGGTCAAGGATATTACCAACATTAACATGCTTTTTTTGTTGGGGCGTGGGGTTAGTTCTGTCTTAGTGCAGATGACACAACACCATTTCCCCCACCCATTAACCTACCCCTTCACTCTGGTGTCTGGGCGCTTCACGTCCGCCCCTTCAGATTTTCAGCAAACAATACCTTTAAAATCATAAACTCAAGCATTTGACTTCACTTTATATTTAGACTTCAGTTTCACTGACATAGAGGCACTTACATGTCTAGTGAATTATTTTTACTGACTTTTGTAATGTGGCATTCCCTGTAGCAGAGCAACTGATCTGCTGCTGCTAGCCAGGAGTAGGAGTAAAAAAATAAAAACAACTTTTTATATGTATTAAAAAAGAGAAATATGCAAATGAAGTGATATATAGCTATAGATATAGTTATAAAATATGCAAATTTAAGCATTGTATCATTTGCATGGAATCACCAGATATTTGGACATTGCAGATAAAAACCACACCGTAGTCAATGGAGTTAGTGACTACATGCATAAAACTAATGTAAGTGAGATCAGAATCATACCCACTGTTTGGTGAGTTTGGATAAAACAGATTAATGAGTTTGCTTCTATGCCTATTACTAAATCAGTGTGTTTAAAACTTACAAGTATATATATAAAAAAATTACATAGTTAAGATTATTACTTGTTCCACTGATCTTTTAATATTTCAGAAGAAAATTATTAGATTTGCAAATGCGCTCTGACCACAGCACAAAAGGTGATCTGGATTTGATTTGATTTGATTAATGAAACTGCCTGTTAAAGTAAAGGTTGTTTGTACTGATTGCAGCACAAATGCAGTGCAGTAAAGTACCACACAGATGGTATTCAAAACAACTTTATCCTAAGGTGACCTTTTTAATTCCAGGTTTGGGTTTCCCTTGAGTAAAAACTACTCACTGTAACAAACATCTGATGTCAGATGTGAAACCCAACTCCCTCTTAGTTCATATTGATCAAGTCCCCTTTTGGAGAAAGCTGTGCCAGCAACAACCAGCATACTGAATCTGACCAGCATGCCTCATTTATCCAAACAAAATGAAAGACTGGCAATAACTTCATTGTTAATTGTAAGATAAATGCACTGAAATCCCTAATTGTGGAGCTCCCCTCTGTGTTATGCTCCAAGCACTATGGCTGAAGTAAGCGAAGGGCAAAGTAATTGTTTGTACTCTCAACACAGAGAATCTTATCGTGACAGCAGAATAGTTGATTAATAAATCTTCAGCAGCACCTAAAGGCCAATTTCAGAATAGCTGTGCTTTTGTAAACGTATCTGAAGTAAGATTTTAGTGGGATGCAGAGGTCTGGCTGTATGCTTAGCAGCAAGACTGTTTGCCATGTTCAACGCTTACCCCGTTAAGTTCTGAATAGCACACAATTCAGTTTGCTCCAGACTCAGTAAGTTGGGTGCTTAGATAATAAAAAATATTTGATCCCGTTTCCATTGTAGTTAATGAAAAAACTCCCACTGACTTCAGTGGATGTTGCTCAGGCTCTAAATCACTTGCACAGTGAGGTAGATAGTATATCTTAGCATGTTTTGATGTAGTGAGAGTTTTGGCCTTGGGTGTGATTCAACAGTAAATAAGTTCTACAAAAAGGCACTGGTGTGTATATGTAGTTAAGATAGGAAGGGAATGAAACCAAGGAAAGACAGTGGATATCATCGATCCAATTTTTATATTCCCTATAGAACTATTTGCATGCGAGCAGTTGGGGTGTATAGTACGAGGATTTTATAACTATTATTGTAACAAAACACATACTAGCCTAAATTTACACTGTGTTTTAAAAGGCAGAGTATGGAAAAGTTCTACGCTCCATTGATTAACTATATGAATCACCATTATACTATTCCCAGGAACAACACAATGGTCAGGTAAATGGCAGATAATCTATCACCTAAACACACAGGAGCAGCTCTTCAACTGATTTAACTCACTATAGCTTCAATAAAGTCAATTGAGCTATTGCCATTTACAGGAGCAGAGGATCTGGTCCACAGAATCTATTTTTGAGCTCCTTTGCACCAGTGTAGATCAAGACTGTATTACAGTAAATGGAGTTACAGTGGGGTCAGATCAGATTTTGGTCTATTTTCCCCAAAGAGCACTAGTCACAGCCCTGGAATAAAAATGTATTTATTACAAAATTATTGGGCGGAAGAGAATGACGGAGGAGATCTGGGAAATTTACTTTATTTGGATGATGATATGTTGGAAAGTTCTGCGCTTAATTTAAGCTCCTTTTCCTTCCCTACTTGCTTTATTTATGTATTCCATGTTTATGCAGAACTGAATTTTAATGTTGTAGCTTGATGTTGGCAAAATGATTACATCCATTGATATACACTTTCATAAAGCCTTTTAGTGATTTACTCATCAACGGTATAATTTACAGTGTGAAATCAGTACTTTCCTCCCTTCAGTTCCCTTTTCATTTAGCAAAAGCATTAATTTTAGTTTTTACTAGAAAGTCTGATGAATATGTTACTGAAGTTTCAGGGGGATAATGTATTCTTGTTGCGAGTATTGTTATATGGCATTAGTGTTTAACTCCAGCTTTCGCAGTCTCCAGCCACATTGGTGTCTCAATGGATTGCTCAACTCCAGCTTGAAAATAAATGCTCAAGACACTGAAAACCAGTATTGTCAATAATTAGTGGAAGATAAGCCTAGGCACGAATTTCTTCACAGAAGTTGGCTCTTGCTGTGTTATCTAAGCTTGCTCTGGCTTGCAAATGCTGTTGGCAAATCTATTAGTTTGGGTCTCACTATTATACAGGCATCAAATAGAAATTCCCAGCTGAAATGATGACCTTTTTTTACTCTGTCAAAGACCTTGACAGAAGCATTTTGTAAAATAGGCAGAAAGCTTTCAATTACTGTCCTAGAGACATAAAAATCCATCCGTCTCTTCTGTACCCAATGGGATTTATCCAGCATAGCTGAAAATCTTTTGCAGGATTGGTAGAATGGAATGTTTGTTGAAATAACTGGGGTGATTTCAGAAATTTGAAGTATGACAAAGGCTTCATCTGCATGTGGGAATTTTAGGCCTACATTTTCAAAAGTGACTATAAATGAGGGGTGCCTTAATTTTTGGGTGCCCAACTCGAGACATCATAAAGGGCTCTGTTTTTTTTTCACCCTCAACACTGTATGAAAAATCAGGCCCTTTCTAGGCGTTTCCAGTTGAGTACCCAAAAATGAGGCCTCCAAATTCAAGAGTCACTTTTGAAAATTCCCACTGGTTGAGCTGCACCTGTCCTAATGTAGATGAGGCTCTTGACAGGTTCTGGTGTCTCCCTGGGGTAGCTGAACTGATGGTAAAGCTTGTCACTGACTTCAGTGGGCACAGAGATAGGCCCCCATGGAGTGATTTGAGAATCCCACCTTTGCAGGTTATCGCCCCTTGAAGACAGAAGAGGGTGAGGGAGGATAATAGCTCTGACGACAAGTAGGGACTGAAAAGAGAAATCAGACTATGGGTCTATTTTGATTTTGGCACTTACCTTTTGAGAGACTCTCGGTTACCATGGCGGCGGGCACGGTTAAAACCTGAGTAGATAGCAAAGTTACATTTAATACGAAATACAATATTTTGCATGGACATACCTTGGCACCAATGTTTTTTTTCCTCTACCGCCTCTGCTTCTGTAACTAAGAAAACCTGCCTTCGTGATACCATGTTTGTTTGTTTTGTCATTCTCATCTCCAAGCCTACCATATTTGAAGACTTTACAAATCAAACCAATACTAACAGATGCTAACATTGGCAGCTCTTTCTCTTTTGCTTTTGTACTGGCTGTGGAATGAAAGGAAGCTAGGTTTCTTTGTTTCCTCTCTCTCTTCATTAAAATGTGTGTGTGCATTTAGCGGTTATGAAATTATAACCGCAATTTATTGTGATAACTAGTGGTACCCAGGCATTCTGGTTATTTCATATCTGTTTTCAACAATTAATGATTTTTTATCTGCATTAATGTAGCTGGCAGCCTGTCCTAGAAGCTTTGTCACAGAGGGCTTTATGGCAGACTACTATATTTCCATTTTTCCTGTTGTCAGAACTGTTAAGATAGAGAGGTTGACAGTGCTGATGAATGCGGGCAATTCAGATGGTTTTTGAGTGGACTCATAATGGGCTGATGACACTGCTTTATCCTCTGTGTTAAAGAAGTTAACTTCCAAGATTAAAAATAAGAAGCATTACAAATACTTTTTCTAAAAAATTTTTAGGAAACAAATGTCTTGGGATTTAAAGGACCTCGCAAAATGAGTGTGGTCATACCAGGAATGAATATGGACCATGAAAGAGTTTCTATCCGACCACGTAATGTAAGTCACAATGTGTCTCAACAATTAAAATTACTTAAGGATGTCCTCTTTCCCCCAGATTGGTAATGTTTCTACTTCTGAAGGGTTGGATGTTAGAGATTTGTTCTGTTTGTACAGCACCTAGCACAATTGGGTCCTGGTCTCTGGCTGGGGCTCCTAGCCGCTACCATGTTACAAATAATAAATACTAATACATTTCAGAGATCAACTACAGACTAGGATTTTCAAAGGTGCCTATAGGATTTGGATACCCAAGTCCAATTAAAATACTTTACATTCCTTTGTTTTGTTTTTATTTGTACTGTGATAATGGAAGTTAAGGGTGACAATTAAGGAGGTAAGGTTGAAGTTGTTAACCCCCTTTTCCCTCAGAGAGTGCTAACCTGAAGTTTGTGTGTGTGATGTATGCAGGAACATGAAACGCTTCTTGCAAGATGGCAGAACAAAAATACAGAGAGCGTCATTGAGCTGCATAACAAAACTCCAGTCTGGAATGATGACACCCAGTCCTATGTTTTAAATTTCCATGGTCGAGTCACACAGGCCTCTGTGAAAAACTTCCAAATTATTCACGATAATGATCGTAAGTGTAGATCACCGAGCTAAACTGATTAGAAACAACACTTGTTTTGTACACGCTATAACACTGATTCTATCCTGACAATTCAGATCAGATCGTGTTTTACACCTACTGGGACAGATTTTTGCTGTGCTCCCTGAAAGGTGCAGCGTGGAAGATGCAGTGTAGGGGTAAAAGTTGCTTTATGCCACCTTTCTACTTTCTGGATTCTAGGCTGCTGCAGAGGCCGGTTAGGCCCCCCCAGTGTAAAGTGAGCAGCACTGCAGGCTATGCTAATTTACAGCAGCCTCCTCCCGGCTACCTATGGACTGGGCAGCAACCCAGGATTCCCTGTAGCAGTCAGTACTGTGCTATTCCCTGGGCTGCCCCAGCACAGTCCTTTACATAAGGGCCTGCATTAATCCTTTGCTGCGGAAATTCTACTCCAACCATTTGTGGCTCTTTTCTGGCCCCTCTATGCCCTCTGTGTGCACTTGGTGAGTGGGGCCAGAATCTGCCCCATTATGCACTCTCATAACTCACAGGTGTAGATGACACAGGGAAGATGCAGATGTATCGGACCAGTGTCTTGTCTAGGACAGTGAGGGTGCTGAAGGCTTGGTAAGATCAACATTGTGAAGATCATGTGTGGGAATTGGTAGTGCCAGCCTCTGAGAGCTATATGGTATTTTAAACATTTGCCAAGGCTTCTAAGTGACGCTGAAATTCACACTGCACAATTACCTTTGCAGTGTTTCTCGGTCAAGTGTGTACGTTCACAGTAGCAGAAAGGCAGCACAGTTACACCCGTACTCACCCCCTCTCTCACTCTTTCTCCCAATCCTCTGCCTGCCTGACCTTGCTTCTGTTGAAATCAATGGGAGCAGAATTAGATCCTGTCTGGTATGAGTGAAATTCTCCCCTGTGCAGAGGGTCAACCCAAGATCTATGCATAAGTCTTGTGCTGGCCTTCTACATAGAGGTGAATTTCATGCTTATGAATGCAAGGGAATAGCAGCCTGACTTTTTTTTTTTTTAAACCCATTGGTTACCTGGCTAAAATTTTAAAGGAAAACACACATAAGGACTTTATTCCTGCAATTTGTCCTCATTCAAATTGTCCTCATATGAATAGTCCCATTGAAGTCATGACTACTTCTCTGAGTACGTTATAGCATTCAATCCATCTATCACAGGGTTTGGGGGGCAGTGGGTTGGTATTGAACACACATTTATTTAATAGGGCTGTAGTCAAAACTAACACTTATGACTTTTATTACAGCTGACTATATAGTGATGCAGTTTGGCCGTGTGGCTGAGGATGTATTCACCATGGACTACAACTACCCAATGTGTGCACTACAAGCCTTTGCTATTGCCCTCTCCAGCTTTGACAGCAAATTGGCTTGTGAGTAAACAGGAGTGGTAGAGTCTCTACACAGCTGAGCAGTATGCCACAAGGGAAAACAACATGATTCCAAATTCTCACTGGTATCATTTATGGTTCATACAAACCAGGCCAGGTAAAATTCATTTTTGGAAGGACCACCATATTGCTGGGGAGAAAATAATTGGAATCTTTTAAACATTCAGGACATTCAGGAAATATTGTTTTATCTGTTATATATTTTTCTGGAAGTGGCATCAAGTTTCTGTAAATAAAAGTCTTGTCTGATATTCTTAGCTATGTTATGGAGAGGTGCCATGATGTACTGAACCATGGCTCAAGTAACACCATTCCCAGTGGTGAGTCTTTTCTAAATCCATGAAAGCTATCTTTAAAAAAAAAAAAAAGTCTGTTTTTATGTTTAAGGAGTATTCAGAGGCTGTAATCAGACCTCAAGATTATGTTGAATACTTTGAAGTTCACATCACCCGACACAGAAGAAAAGATCACCAAAAAAGATGCACTTTTTGGACAGACAAGGATCTCGTGTAATATAAAACCAAGTCTAAGGGTGGAAGGCCTATATTGGACTGAACTTGATTTGTTGCTATTATTTATGTGGCGGAGCAGGATGAGTTTTAATTATAGTAGGAGAAAAAGGAGAAGTAGACAGCACAAAATAATGTTGCACAAGCCACTTGAATTCTAAGATGTCATTTTTTTTATGTTTTAACATCTATTTGCTTTTAAGTTCTGTTTCAAATGAAAACCTATTGGAATTCTAGAAATGGGGGGGAAATCTGAATGCCAGCATTTCGGCATGCTGGGTCTTTGGAATTATATCCTTATATATCCCTATATCAATTCAGATACATATTTTGTGTCAAGTGATATAAATATTTGGATAAAGATCGCTTCACAGAGCTGCATCATTATTTTAAACCAGTTGTGTGAATGACTAAGGAAAGTAGTAGAAATAATATATTAAATTAGTCTGGCCTTTTGTGATTTAAATTTTGGATATTGAGTTTTGTCAAATCTACAGTAACAATTTTCATATTTATTTCTTATTGTAAAAGTGCTTGAAATCTATTTTACATTATAATGTAAAAGTGCCAGCTACTGAGCTAAATTCTTCTAGGCAAATATAGTGTACATTACAGACAATTAGGTTCATTCAGGACATACAAATTGCTTAAAATAGGATTTTCTTTTGTTTCATCTTTTCTGATAGGTCTGGGATATATAAACAAATATCATTTCAAAATACAAGCTCTCCACTCAGCTTTCTTGCACTGTAAACGTCTCAAAAGTCATCAAGGAAAGACTTCAACTATGAGAATTGCGTAAAACCCCATTTAAAAATAATGGAGATCCTGAGTCTTACTTCTGTTTTCCCATACAATAGTATTACCCCAAACTAACACATAACAGAAGAGCTTTAAATATTGGAGTAACATTTTATATTGTGCTTATTAAAAAACCCTTTTTTTATCCTTAGTAGCATATCTACGTTATATAACCAAAGATTATATAATGAGAAAATGCTTGTCTCATAGCTTCCAGTCCCTGTGTGACTGTAGGGGACAGGCCATCAGGACAGGTTGTGCCATTTGGACTGTATGATTTCAACTAATAAGAGAAATACGTTTTATTCTGTGCCTCTGCCTCCAGGTCTCATTACAGATATAGGGACAAGGAAATTCCAGTGGACAAATGTGCTTGCAGTTGGATTGTTATTGCTTAATTTACAGTTTTATATGAACGTTTGTTTTAGAGGGAATAAACCCATTTCAAATCCCATTGAAGTCAATGGAGAGAAGCCTCCTGGCTTTGATGCGGGGTTCACCCCTGGCCCAACCTATTGAATGTGTTCTAAACAATGGCAGAGACTGCCCTTCGTCTTCAATCTTTTCACAAAAGAAATATTTTCTTCCTGTAGTATAAAATAAGAAAGAAAGAGATCTCCTGATCTGAGATAAAAGAGCAGTGAGTTCCTACAATGAATGATAAAAATGGTAATCAACCAGGATTTGCAGTTTTCATTATTCAGCACTTTGCTAGTATGAGACCCCAGCAGACGGGTGTGGTCTCCTCTCTGTCAACTGTTGAGTTATTGCACCAGACCTGAGGCACTCTCTCAGCCCCTGTCCATTATCTGATTTTGAATTTTAACAAACAAATGGCATTCGTGTTACTATATGACAACTCCAAGGCTTACTCAGTGCTTCTAGTACTAGCTAGAGTTTCGGTTCAGCCCATTGCAAAGATATACAATTTGTTGAATTTGGATTTGGTTTGGATTTCCAAGCTGTAGAAGGTGTTGGAATCTGGAGGTTTGATTCTGGCCATCTCCAATGATAATTATATGCCTAGAAAATGGCATGTAGCATTGCCATGTACTTCTATCTACTTGCAAAATCCACTCAAAAGAACAGAATGTCTTAGTCCATTTTCTTTTAATTGGATGAGAAAATGGCCTGTAAGTTACATTGGAAAGAATCTTGCCTCCAGTCTTCCTAATGTTACTTCACAGTACCATAAAGCAGTGCTAGCTAAGTAAATGCAAAGGGAAATTCTTTACAGTAGTCACTAGAAGATGAATAGCTTGTACAAAGAAGGGTCTTCATCACCCAGAGCACCCCACATCAACAAAGAGAATAGAAAACATAACAAAAATTCTGAGACAACTGACTCACCAGCTATGAGTATCACCCCAACCTTTGTGATTAGGATTTTCAAAGGAGTCTACAGGAATGAGCTGCCCAAATCTCACTAAAATCCCATAGCATTTTTTGTAGGAGTTCACTCTGGTGTCCTTACCCTTGCCTGAGGATTGTAAAGCAAGATGCTGTGTTCTGTTCAGGCACCCGGCTGCCATCTTTTGCCCCAGATGTGGCCACATTTCAGTGGTGACATAGCTATTTTGTGAAATGTGTGGGACATTTCTGGATGAAAGACACTACTACATATGAATATTTTTAGGTTCTAACTCCTCTCCCCCCAAATCTTTCATTCTTGCCATCTTGTTAAGCATACAGATTCTACCTAAACAAAGCACAATATGTGGGATTGCATAAGTCCCAAGAAAGTAGATCGTGCCTTGCACAATAAAAATGCATTTTGTAAATATTTTCAAAGGTATCTGCCTTCCCAAATAACCTGTTCGACAGGTCTCCAAATTAGGCTTGCTGGTAAAAGAGTGCTAGGACCAATATCTTCTGAAATTCCTTCATATCAGCATAAGAACAATATCAAGTCATATAATTCCCCTACAATGTCCCAGTGAGAATTTGGTTAGAATTGACTTCATAATGTGTTAGCTGTAAGTAGTGATGATTTAATCTTGCTTCTGTTATTAATTTTGGCAGGGAGTCATAAAGAAACTGTGCCTGAATTGCTTATAGGCCAATATCCTACTCTTTAATGTGACTTCTTAATTTAACTTGTCACTTTAACAACTAGATTATTGACATCAAATCATTTCTTCCTGGCCTCTATCTAATTTTCTTCATCTCTGAAGCTCTACTACTGCTAGTCCGCCTCCTCTCTCCAAGCCCATTATCTTTTATTCTAAGATGTATAAGCCAAAGTGCTTGTTTTGGCAATATCATTCAGTGAATCAGCTGTATAGCACCATCAGGTGCACATCCAATGATGCCCCCACAATGGGGAGGTTTATGGGGGCTGAATTTGGCCCTTTGGCTTTACAGTGAAGTAAGTTAACACATTAAGAGGCAAGTGGATACAAAGAGCTTGTCTGAAATATAATCAGAATTTCAATGATTTTAGGAAACATAGTAATAGCAGTTTCCAAGCCAGTGGCAAATCAGTGGGCAACACTGTCCAGAAGCCTGGAGTTTCTGTTACGAAAATTCTCTTTGTAGGGTTATCTTCTTTGTCCTTTTGGTAAGGTTGAAAGTGATTCTATAAAATGCAACATGTCAGTGCTGCTAAACTGAGTCCACATCTTAGAAGCTAACCATCATCCCACTTCGAGGGAATGAATGTCGCTTAGAAAAAGAGAGGTTGGGTGAAGCTTCATCACGCAGTAGTAATAACTAGGCCTTTATTACGAATTCTGAAACCACAGAAATCCACTCAAGTGTCTTTCCAATTTATTTCTGCATGAATCACTTATTTTTCAAGTTACCTTACAATAGTATTGATATCTCCAGACCATTGTGGTTGCATAGCGCCATAAATGAGCACTGTTCTCACTCTAGAAATACATTTCTACATACACTCTAGAAGGGGACCCATAATAAAATCCCATAACTCAACACCCCAAACCTTAAGAGGGTCTGGAATCTTATCAGGGCTCTGGAACCAAATTAATGTTGACCATTCTTTGTATAATGCTGAACCAAAGCCCTGGATGCAAAGCTTCTGGCCCATCTCTAGCTTTTGATGAATGAATTTTGAGTGAACTGCAACCAGCATAGACATTATGGGTGAGATTTTCAAAAGCGCTCAGCATTGTGGCCCAATGAAAAATCCCACCCTGTATTTGCTCTGCCAGGTCAGCCCAGGGGTACAGAAAACTTTACTTAAATAGGCCCAATGTGACCTCTTGCGTTTTAGCAACTTTTCATAGCATTAATTTATTTGTTTTCCGGTAGTGACCCGCTGTACAGAGTCAGTGTAGGAGACAATCCTTGCCCTGCAGATTGGTACCAGTAGATTTAGTCTTTGATTACAGAACAGGATAGGACAGTCTTTCTTCCTGATCCTGCAAAGAGCTGATGGACTCTTACACCTAAGTGGTGCCACTGATATTTGGCAGGTGCTCAGAGATACAGTCAATGGATCTCTGCACAGCATAAGAGTCTGTCTCTACTAACCTTTTGCAGGACAGGATCCTGATGCTGTCAATTTCTAAACTGGCTGAAAACACATGATCTTGTGACTCAATAAGAAAACACATGTACAATTTGTACTGAAGTAGGCTCTTGCCCGTAGAATACCTCTTCAGATAAATCTGGATACCACATTTAATAGAATGGCACAGAGTGGCTCCCTTTATTAGAAGTATGGGTTGATTCTCAAATTTCTTGTCAAATCTCCATAAAGGACACATTTGTGGTTACTGGAAAAACATTGCTCTCCATTCTTATATAAACTTCAGTTTGGCCTTAGATCTTTCTGCAGATGAAGACTATACATGTCATTACACACCATTGATTTTCCCCTAGCTAATCACACATGAACACTACAGACTCCTCCCATG